GACAGGTGAAGACTATTTGGCTACAGTCCTTAAATACTTCACTATATTGACTGCTGATATCAGACATGTTTCTAATTAATCTCACACTACCGTCACAAGATACACTAAGAGCTGATGGTGGGGTGAGTGTACAAATTAGTTGCTTAAATATTTTGAAAGTCTTGCAAGTTAGTACAAGATAGTAAATAATGCAGTAAGGCCTTTCCATACTTACTCTTATGCTGTCTCTCTCTTTAGGTGCTGCCAAACTGAACCACTGGGCATTTCTCCCAACATTCCAGTCTCCCTATCTAGAATTAAAGAACATTAATAGCTTAAGACTTTATTTATTGCTTCATTTTCAGGATGAGAAAACAGATCCAGATTAAGTGTCACAGGACATGCCTGAGAATAGAGCTAGTGGCAGAACAGAAGCAGACACCATTCTCCTGATACAAACTAAATATATTGCCGTCTTGCTCATCCATCTCTGTTTAAAGTCCTCCCGACCTCTGAGGTTCAGCTTAATCATTACGGCCTCCATGAAGCCTTTCCTGATCCTCCCCAGTAAATGAACTCTCCCACCAGAGGACTTTGCTCACAATGAGTGCATCTAACAGAAACACCAACTTTAACTAGGACTTTCTTCCCTGATTATTCTAGCTGAAGAGTCTCCCGCCCAAAAGACAAGAGAAATGTGAATTCCTGGTACCAGGGCTCTCTCTGCATATTAGGACAAAATGTAAAAAATGGTGGCCACCACATTCCACTTTTTCTTAAAATACCAGCAATTTTTGCATTATACAAACTCTTGGTACTGCCATTTTCTTCTGATGTTGCAATTACTATTGCTAAGGTCATTAATGCCTTTATTGCAAAATGCAATGAATACTTTCCTGTTTTACCTTTTTAATGGTCCCTGTAACTCTCCTTTCATGTATCCAGTTATTCAGCAAATATTTAATGAGACCAGATACTGCACTAGATGCTAGGAATGCAGTGGTGAGGAAAACACCCAAGGGTCCTCTCATTAGGAGATAAGATGGAGCACAAAAGAGACCAGCCGTCAAGCAACCACCAGAGTGTGGTAAATGCTGCACTATAGGAGTCACAGGGCATCCAATATAGTTCAACAGAAATGATATTAAAGTGAAATCTGAAGGAATAGTTCAGAGGGAACATGAAGGACTGGAGGCAAAAACACACACACACACATTTGAGGAATTTAAAGAAGTTCCTGAAGGGCAGGGGAAGTTAAGGAGGGACATTTCATAAAGGGCTTTGCAAACTGTGACAGAGTTTGGGTTAAAGGCAATGAAAACCATGGAAATGTTGTGAAGAGGGTAAGGAGAGGACAAAGATAACTGGCTGCAATTTAAGAAAAGCATTTCTACCATCTCCATTATTTTTTATTCTGTCTTAAATGATCTTCACTCTTGCCTTATTCTAAATACTTTAAGGAGCTAAATTAAAGGAACATCTATAATGGATGTGAGAGAAAACAATAACTTCTCCATGCATCACAGGTAAATTATATGTAAAACATAAGTTATTTTTGCAGACTCCTGATTAACATTACAAAATAAATAAGGTTAACAATAGACTAACAGGTAATTTTATCTTCCTTTTATTTGAAACTTGCCAGCACCAAATTATTCATGCTAACTGAACAGATATATGCATAACCTAACATGATCAATAATCCAGATCTTTTCTATTTCACTTTGAAACGTGCCTTTTAATTTTCATTTGAACATGGGCATCTCTGAAATCTAGAATTTACTTAAGGCCACACCACAGAAAAGGACCAGTTCCTAATACCTAATCTTGTACCCTTTCCATAGACTGAAAGCATATTTTAGGCTGGTGTCAAGATTTGGTAGAGTGGTTTAGACCTTTTTCTTTACACTTTTTTATATTCTATGACCTTTTTTTAAACAGCAGGAAGGAGTCGCTTTATTTTTCTGGTAATAAAAACATTTCCACATGGAAAACAAAGAGTAGAAGTCCCCTCTTTCACATCTTCCCTGAAAAGAGTCAGGTTAAATAATTGCGTTTAGAGCTTCTCTGAATCACAAGACCTTGACAAAGCAGTGTGGAATCAAGGCTATCGTTTAGGCTTGCATACTGGTAATTTGAATAGTGACTGTTTTCTAAAATATTTTGTGGAAAATACTAAAATGAACAGCAATTTCAGCAACCAATGGATAACAAAACAAGGATGTTACAGAACTTTAAAATATTTTTTGAGGGGCCTGCCCGGTGGTACAGTGGTTAAGTTCACACTTTCTGCTTCTCAGCGGCCCAGGGTTGGCTGGTTCGGATCCCGGGTGCGGACATGGCACTGCTTGGCATGCCATGCTGTGGTAGGCATCCCATGTATAAAGTAGAGGAAGATGGGCACGGATGTTAGCTCAGGGCTAGGCTTCCTCAGCAAAAAGAGGAGGACTGGCAGTAGTTAACTGAGGGCTAATCTTCCTCAAAGAAAACATTTTCTTTTGATAGAGATCATTGATTAATGATTTTTGAACTGCGTACAATTAATCAAGGAATGAAAAGTGCTTTTACACCAAACCTAAACACAACAAACATGCTGACAATATTATTACTTGAAATATTTAATATTTAAAGATATTATAAGAAAGTTAAGGCAAAATACTATTATTCTGAAAATGAAAGGGTCAGGACAAACTCCTTTTCACCTACTCAATAGTTTGCACAGATAATTAAAAAAATCTAGTTATTAGCAATTACTTCCAACTTTGCAGTACAGATCTTCCTCAACTTATGATGGGGTTATGTCTCAATAAAACATCTTAAGTTGAAAATATCCTAAGTCAAAAATACATTTGGTACATCAAACCTAGCAAATGTCCCAGCTTAGCCTTGCTTGCAGTGACCACGCTCAGAGCAGTGACACTCACAGTCAGACAGAAGCATCTCACACAAGCCTGCTGAGTAATAGTGTCAAGTATCTTTTGTAACTGATTGAATACTGCACTGAAAGTGGGAAACAAAACGGGTGACTGGGGTCAGAGTGGTTGCAGTGTATCAGCTGTTCACCCTCGTGATTGCCGGACGGACTGAGAGCTGAGGCTCCCTGCACTGCCAGCATCATGAGGCAGGATCATGCACATCCCGTTGGCCCAGAAAAAGATCAACATTCAAACTTCTGAGCACCATTTCTACTGAACGTGTATCGCTTTCATACATCGTAAAGAGGAAAACTTGTAAGTCAAATCGTTTAAAGTGGAGGATTGTCTGTATTTTCAAATAAAAATTAGTAAAGTGACAGTGGATTTATACCTCTTTATAGGTGGAAAAGGGCTAAAAGAGTTGTATCTTAACATAGAAACTCAAGTATTTTCTGTTATTGTCAGCTGAGGCTGTATATTTCATCAAATGTTGATGCAACCATTTGAGAAAAAGATGGGTGGGCCCTATAGCACTCATATCTAGTAACTGGTTTAGGACACTGTGAGATGATGAGTGTTATGTGAGGAATCTATAACATGACGATGCTTTTGGATAATACAATACCTCAGTTTTCAATTCTTAAAAAAATACCCCAAAACATTCTGATTTTGTTGTTTAAAAAATTGTTTTAATTTTAATGATCTGAGTTAGTAACAAATATACAAAACTGTCCTTCACATTTCCAATTTCCATACGTCGTATTATGGACCACTTAAAATTCTGGACTACAAATGCAAGTTTCTTTGTGTCCTTAACTTCAATTATTGTCATTTATAAAGAAAGGTGATTTTCAAAAACATGCATTTGTGAACACAGATGCCAAAGGTTGTACACATAAGTTAATGCCCAACCAAAAGCGTACATTGTTCATTTGTGCAGTTATGTGTCAAGTGCGACTGACATAATTAGAAGCAGTCATCCTGGGATATGTCACTCTATCTGAAAAGCAGTCTTGAGAAACAGATGGAACTATATCTTTAAAAAAAATGTATTCTACAAATACAATAAAATTCACAAACGTGTACATCTGAAGCAACTCTTGAGACCCAAAGCTGATTCAATAACCCTGCTGCTATATTGGTTTATGGATATATCTCCAAAGTCATAGGCTGGGAAATAGCTGCTTTAAAAAAAATAAATATACATATTAAAAAGAAAGTAAGGATTTTAAAAATATGATGAAAGCTTTGAAAACAGTAATAATGTATGAATCCTCTATGTTTTAAATTTTAGAAATTTAAAGAAATTTAGAAATTTAAAGATAATCTGCACATTTTTTAAGCCATTATAATTAAAGTTTTCCCATCTTACCAATGTTTTCTATTTGAAAGTGTAATAGAAAAATGGGCAGCTTCTATTGTTGAACTACTATGATAATTCATAAATCATTATAAATTTATGACTTCAATAGAGGCTCAGGTAGTGGAAACTGGTTATCGTGCAAATGAAAAGCAGGAGCCTGCTTGCTTCTCCAAACAGTAATATGAACTAGAAATAAACACCAACACAGAATGATTTTTTATACAAAATTGTTTTCTGATATCAGAAGGTAGGAAAATCAAATCTTTCTTAAAAATGTTTTCCTGGGTTTTGCAACATGTGCTTTACCTCTTTGACTCAATCCACCACCTTAAGTTATTTCTATTATAAATCTCAAACTGCCTGGCAAGGACTGTGAAGGCTAACCAGCTAGGTATTTGACATCATCCCCAAGGACAGACTCATGTATAGCTGTCATAAGTGTCGCACTTTTCTCTAAGGCCTGGAATTTGATGTCTGTCTTTGCTACGTGGATCACATGACAGAGGATGGTGCAAAGTTACAACCAGGTCTCCTCCAGGCAGTCCTATAGACTTGGCCTCTGATATCACAAAAACACTTGTTTTACTAAAATGAATTCAACTGCAAACAGTTGGAGGGCAACTGTAGTTGAAAAGGAAATGGGTTATTTTCTACAAGAAACATCTCTATTTCCTAAGGGTCTTATCATGAAGAAAATGTGGCTAGTGGTTTCAAACAGGTACTTCAAGAGTTACCCTAAATGCAAGACGACTTTTTAAAATATTTAAACCAACAATGATTCAGGAAAGTAAGCTGGGGGAGTAACATAAAGACTTGTAACACTACATTAGGAGATGCAGTATCTGCTGTGCACTTTGGAAACGAAAGCAACCAATTCTAGCCAAAGTCAATATCAGAAAGAAATACGGCTGCTTCCTACTTTTCTCCATTTAGCAAAATTAATTGTTATGATGCTCATTGCTGATATTCTCTCACTTGAGTTAGGCAAAATGAATCAAATAAGTTACTTTTGTTTTCTAAATAAGCTGCCTAAACGGTTTTTTTTGTTTTAAACTTTCAGAAATCGAACAGTTAACCCTTGAGAGAAACTGCTGTTATTGAGTATCCTGTCTAAAGGCAGGTACAAGGATTGTTGGATTAAGGATTATTGCTCTTAAAAAGATAACCATCAGAAACAAATATGTTAAGTTTACCTCAAAGACTGATTTTTCACCCAATGCTACAAGGTTTCATTCTCAAATTGAGTCATGTGTTACCTTCAATTCTTTGGCAGTTTATTGAGGTTTTAGCTATTAGAAGTTGACCTATTAACTCAAAATCAAGACAACAGCAATATCCACATACGCATTCTTATTTGGGCATTAAGCAGTTAACACTGCTTTCTGGATAGGACTTAAGGCACTAAATGGTGGTAAAATAAACAAGTAGGATGATTAACAACATCTTAGGAATCCTAAAAAAGGAGATCATTTAGAAGGACACTAGTAAATCTTTTTCTCAAACAAATAAGGCATCCTGTTGGCAAACACAAATAAAATACAAGGTCACGTTGAACCTAATACGTTCACTGTCTCAGCTAAACGACTCAAAACACTAGCTATCGAACTAAAGAAGGCTACGATATACATCTAAAGGTTGGAAAGGCACCCAAAGGAGAGCTCCACCACTTCCAGTTCTCAGTTAGGTAAGCTGTGTTTAACACTGCATGAGGTCTACTAAACATTTATTCTTCAAAATGTATAATGTGGTTAGATTTTTATTTTGATAAATCAGTTAAGTGCTAATTTAGTAAGAAATTTATTTTCATGAATCAGGAAATTACTGCAGTGTCTAACACAGCCCCATTTATAAAGCTAAACTAATTCTAGTACTATATGCATATTCTGGATAACACTGAAGGAAACCTGTATAAACAAAAATGGTTACCTCAAGATAGAACTCACAATAGAAATTCAATATATACCTAAATAAGATTTACTGAAAATAATGAAAAGTGTAGTACAGATACATCAAACATAATTACAACCACAACACTTTCCTTGTGAACAATACAACTATTAGTGAAATAAAATGTACGACTAAAAATTTTTCCAAAGGAAAAAATGTATAAAGGAAAATACTTTTCTTTGAGATAGGGAAAATAGTATGTCATTGCTTTTTTCATCACAACATAATTTGACACGAAAAGCAGTCATAGAATTGCACCAATTCCACATCCAGTTTCCTGAACATGTTAAGAGCAAAAGGAGTTTGTAAAGCAGAACATGGTTTCTGAATTTCATATTTTAAACTGTTGATATCGTACACAATGTCACATCACACCAGATCTGTTTTCATAACGTACAATACTTTCTGTTTCATGGCCAGACATGAATGCAAACATAGGCTTTCTTTCATCCTGGTGTTTAGTCAGAGTGAGGAAAAAATTATCAAGTTACTTAAGTGTTATCTCTCTAGCAATAAAGAAAAATTGTATTTAGTGCCTGCTTCATCGTTTGTCAAAAAACATTTCTGAAAATAAAACTCAGTTACCCAATGGTTTACAAAATAGAAAAATCATTCATTAGGATACAAATGTCGTGGGATTTAGGTCCACTTCCAAAGGACTGAATTCATTCCTTGTCAGCACCACTGTCCTTCAGCAGAGGTCACGATGCCAGTTCCCTGATCGGAACAGGCGGGCCTGCAGGAGACCACAGCTTGATATTCGATTATCTGAGGCCCCAGACCCTCTTTGATCACCCCTCTCTGCCATCTCATTAGTGCTACAAAATAGATGGCACTTTTGTGGAAATTGTTAGGAACATTTCTGCTGAACATGATTTAGAAGTTCTCCAAATTTTTCAAATAGGTCTTCCACCCATTTTACATTTTTCATACAAAGTTGAACAATTTCTTCCTATCCTAAATCTTCATTTCTTTTCTGCACAGAAGAAATCTAAAATAAAGAGAATTAGCACATTAGCTTATACTTATCATTTTATAAGCTCTTCACAAGGGTTTACTGTTTCTATATTCTCAATGAAAAGAGATTAAGTCACCTACAAGTAGGAATCTTTTTTTGGAAAAATCTATCCATGGAAAAGGATTATTTCAAATAAATTTGGGTTAAGTTTAATACTATCATTTTTGGCTCTGTGGGGGCAGGGAGGGAGGCTAGGAAAAGTGGTTCAAACTTTCTCAATTCCTTTCAATTGTGTTAAAAGCTGAAAGGCAAATTTGGGGGTCAATTCTGCATTTCAAAGCACTGTAACAGCAGTCACCATATTTTACATGACCATCTTTACTTTCTCCTTTGCTAGACAGAGGTTCGATTCATGAACATCCTTCCACACTAAACCATGATCAAACATATCAGGTACAGCCTTGAGCCAACTTCACCCTTTTTGATTAAAAAATTGATAGTGCTGGTCAAAAAGAGGTAGTAATGTCTATAGTCGTTTAACCTCTAAGCAAATTAATCCTTATATCCAATCCAAAAACGGTATTATTGTCATACATAACTTCTGAGCAACTCAAATTATGGTATTTAATAGTTAACATTAAATTTTAATTATCATTTCTTCATGCCAAGGAACAAATGCCCTATTTCTCTGCAATTAAGTGGGATAAGGCCATGCTAGTGATAAGAAGATAGCCGTGACTGAAGCGAATTACAGCAGAATCATTATACATTATGAGAGAACATGCAGCAAAGGACCATTTATTATGGCAATGTACAGCAAGCTCTAACAGCTTAAAAACATTACCACTTACAGTTCCTACGAGAGGGGATGAGCCTTAGATTACTCTGAGCACTGAGCACAACACATGACAGAGACTCTGAACAATAAGTCTTCTTGTTATTATTTACAGGAGAATATAGACACATTTTCTAACAATTGTCTTTAAAATATTAAAAAATACTATATCTACAGTCTCCTTAAAATTTGGAAAACCACACATTTCTTTTTTAAAATAAGTGAAAAATAATTACCTCATCTTTACATATGAGATAAACATGATATTTATAATGATGCAGTGAATGATATAAAGAATACAACTGTATTTTCTCTGGATCAACAGCAAACTCCTATAAAATCAAAAGAGTTTACAGATATATTTATTTCAGGGAGCAATCTGAGCTAACAATACTTTTACAAAAGTACTAGACCAAAAGTCTCAATGGAAATCTTAAAAATGATTTCTATGGCTAGGCATTACCCTGTATTAATATCAACAAGGAGCTTATTCAAAAAAAGAATTTAAATTGTATTTTAAAATCTTCATTCTTTTTCCTGAATATAAATATACACTATTCCAAAAAATTAAACATTATGCAAAAATTTACACAGTAAATATATAATATGACTTATAAAGCAAAAGAATCCTATAATCTCTTGATTCAGAGATAAACGAGGTTAACAGCATTACAGTTATACATTCTTCCATGTCCCCCCACACATATATTAACAACACTAATTTTGTAAAGGGAAGGGAATTATACTATACATATTGTTCTGCAACTTTCTTTTTTATAACTAGTTTTTCACATAACTAAAACTTGGATATCTTTCTCTTTACTACATATGCCCCCCAATATAAATTATATGAGGGCAGGGATTTTTGACCATTTTTCACTGTTTATTTGTGGTACTTAGAACTGTATTTGGCACACCATGGGCATTCAAAAATTTTAGTGAAAGAACAAATGAATCTACCTCTTCTTTTTGAAAAGTCCATAGCATTACATTATCTGAATGACTCTTTATCCAGTCTCACAGTGATGATACATAACTGAACTGCTCTTACAATTCTGCAATGAGCAAATGCATGTTTTAATGCATTTGTAAATATGTTTCTACAGAATACATCTTTGATGTGAACTTGATATGTTGCTAAGCTGTTTTCTGAAAAATCAGTAATTTAGACCATGTTTGAAATTGAATTGATTCCAATTTTAATAATTTTGCAGATGGAATCCACACTGAATCCTATGAGAAGTGTGCACACTCACTTCTCTGTCTGCATTTGCATCCAATGACAAAAAAACTATATAAAAAAATATAAATGCAGGCATAGGATGATTCCTTGCTTATTAGTCTATTTAAAAAATGTGTTAGCACTCACTGTCTGCCAGATACTGTGCTAGGCACTGGAGACAAAGACTAACACCAAGTCCCTCTTCCTTAGGCCAGAGCTGCTCATTTCTACCTGAAAAAACTTCACAATTAACAACATGGTAAACTGCTTGCTTATTTCAATGTTTTTAGTAGGAATTATATTAACAACTGGAAAAGGTATAATTACAACAATCAATATATACTCACTTGTGCAGATTTAGTGGTTGTCTTAGAAGTCCTTATAGTTTTCTTCTTATAAGCTCTGCCATTCATTTTGATTTTAGAAATGGCAGATCCCTTACTTTTTGCTTTAGAGTCTCGAGTAATTATTGTTAGTTCAGGAAAACTTTCCAAAGCACTCTTTAAAATAAAGCAAAAATAATTCACATCAGAAGAAAACTAATCTAAACTATTTCTAGCCATTCAAAATTTATTTTAGAAAATATAGAAATATATACATATGTGTACATATACACACAAATATATGTATAGGGGATTGATGGATGTGGTAAATAAATACAATATACACATACATATACATACACATGTGGGTGTCTTAAACATGGCCACAAATTCTATGCAGCTCCTCCCATCAAGATGTGGAATCTATTTCCCCATCCCTTGAATCTGGGCCAACCTCATGACCTTCTTTAAGCAACAGCCTGTGACACTGTGGGGACTCCTGAATGAGGCAGAGAGTTCTTTCGAGTCATGCCTCTCTGGTTTCATGATAGGAGAAAGAGGGACACATGTAAGTTTCTTCAAAGCTCTACCAATTAAACGACTGTTAACACCCTGAAACTTGGCCAAGCCCTGCTATGAAGAATTCATCTGACCCAGGATGAGAACAGAAGAAAACAAGATGCTTCTCTGGCTTTATCACTTCTCTTGCTTCACTGACCACAGGAAAAGCAGTTGTAAGACAAGAGTCTAAAACACCCTGATGAGTTTTCTGACCACAATGGCATAACACTACTGATAATTTAGTGGCCATATGGCAGAACCAATTCCAGTCCATTCTTTAAAACCCACAGGTATATTTATGCTCTGACCTAGTTGGCAAATCATCTTGCAATAAAAAGCTACAAACACTAACTAAATAATATTTGTAGCTAAATCTAACTAGTTCAAATATTGTTTTAAAAAATTAAAGTGAGTTACCAGTATCATTTATTATTTTGACACTAAAAGGGGTTAAGTGCTCCCATTATATATTTTTTCTCTTATATTTAGTATTCAGAACATAGTTCTCATTCAATAAGCTCAATTGTTTTATAAACAGTTACAACCTTCAAGGCCACTCTCTTCCAAATTCTGTTTGAGTGCCTAAGCAACTGGCATTGTGACCCCTGAAACAGGACATTTTTTAACAGACAGTCTAATTTTATTTAGATATAAGTGTAGGAGGGAACTAAGTTTAAGTTTCATCAAATAGAAATAATAGAATCTTTGGCATTTCCTCCAGAGTGAGCTATCATTAATTTCTAGCTTCCTTCTCTTTCTTAAATTATTTGTGCTTTTATTACATAGTTTGGTGCTTTCCATATAAAACATGCCCAAGTTTGAAAACTTTTGGACCCTGAATTACTATTTACAATAAATGGAACTTAAAGACAAAATAAGGATTCCAGATTTGGAAATAATGAACACCAGGTCAATGGAGATGAAAAGAGAATATTTAAATGATCTTTCTAATAAGCACAAGATGACTGGGAGTACATGGATTTCAAATGAAAACAGAACTTCAAAAGGCTTTAGGATTCCTAAAATTACCAAGATCATCATGGAAAATGGTGCTAATCATTTCCAAAAAATAGAAAATCTTTTCTAATATACTGTTTGTAATATTTTACATCAAATCATTCTAACTTTTAATAATGTATATTTTGGCTTTGAAATGCAAGCTACTATAAATAAAAATTATCAAAATTAATAAGTATTTCAAAATTAGAAATTTTCTTCTGTGAAATAAGAATATGAAAACTAATTTTTCAGTTTTTATCATAAACTATTGCATAAATTTTAAATATCTACTGAGTCCATTAAATTCCAAGTGGTGGCTTCATTTTAATACAAGTTACTAGAGAACTGGTTTGACATTCTAAAAATAGAGCAAACTGGTCATTTTTAAGATTTAGTAAATTTTTAGAAAACATACATCTAACAACATCCTACTGTCTGAAGAAAACATGACATTTCCCAAAGGGCTATTTCATTTGAAGACAGCAGTTAAGCAGAAAATACTGGACTGGGAGTCAGTAGACCAAATTCTTAGTACTGGGCTTCTTACTAGCTTCTGACTTTTTTCTCAGCAAGTGCATGTCAGTGAAGAATACAGGACTACCAGCAGAGCTTGGGGTCACCTAGCAAAAATAAAGTCAAGTTTCACTTTTATGTGGAGTTCAGATAAAATAGGGATGTGAAAAAGCTATACAAATTACACAAAGGAGTTGAAAACATGTCCATGCAAAAGCCTGCACACGATGCGTATAGCAGCTTTCCTGATAAAATTGGCAGGATTAGGGAGCAACCAAGATGTCTTTCAGTGGGAGAATAGATACACTGTTATCTATGCAGACAATGGAATATTATTCAGTGCTAAAAAGAAATGATCCATCAAGCCATGAAAAGACACTGCAGGGGCCGGCCTAGTGGCCAAGAGGCTAAGTTAGTGCACTCCACTTTGGCAGCCCAGGATCCTGGGTGCAAATATGGCACCGCTCATCAGGCCATGCTGAGGCAGCGTCCCACATAGCATTACCATAAGGACCTAGAACTAGAATGTACAACTATGTACTGGGGGCCTTTTGGCAGAAGAAGAAGAAAAAAACAAAAAAGAAGAAGATTGGCAACAATTGTTAGCTCAGGGGTCAATCTCTAAAAAAGAAAAGACAAGACATCGCAGAACCTTAAATGCATACTACTAAGTAAAAGAAACCAATTTGAAAAGGCTACACACTGTGTGATTCCAACTGTATGACATTCTAGAAATGATAAAACTATGGAGATAGAGAAAAGATCAGTGGTTGCCAAAGGTAGGAGGAAGGGAGGGATGAGTAGGCGGAGCATAGAGGATGTTCAGGGCAGTGAAACTACTCTGTACGAGGCCATAATGATACACATATGTTATTGTACATTTGTCCAAACTCTTAAAATGTACAACAGCAAGAGTGAACCGTAAGAGATGCTGATAACGGGGAAAGTTCTTCATGTGTGGGGACGGGGTATATGGGAACTCTCTGTACTTTCTGCTCAATTTTGCTGTGAACCTAAAATTGCTCTAAAACTGAAGTCTATTTAAAAAAAAAAAGCTATACAAATGGATAAAAAAACTTCTCCCAAGGTAGATATAATCAAATGATTCCAGATGTTGTATGTTATACTTTGAATAAGCTGGAAATTTTTTGACTACTAAGTAGCTTCTATCATAATTTTTCTGAGTTTACATTAGCTTATTGTTATTCTATATTTCTGATAACACCAAAACCAATTTGTAGTGCCAAGATAAGTCAACGGATACACACATATCCCCTACTATTATGTGAGAATTAATTTTTGCTCATATATTGAGTAAAGCGCACAAGTAAAGGGAATGTTAACAACTGTGCTAGACCAAGTCTCATTACAGGTGAAATGAGAAAATTTTTTAAAGGTTTAGAAGAAAAACAAGATTGGAATACAGTAGTTTAAAGCAAGCACTTTTGAAAACATTTGGAAATTATTATATAGAAGGAAAACTAGAAAAATAAGAAAGCCTGAAAAATGATTTTAAGCAGAAAAAAGCAAATGATTAACACTAAGAATGTGCTTAATACAATAAAAAGACAAGCTAAACAGACTCACAATGAATAAAAATCAAATTTTTTGTTGGGTGAAAATTTTATGAAACTGAAAATGACTTTCATAAATTTTCCATCCTATTACGCTTAAGACTACGATTGCCACTGAGTTTTGCTAATAAATCATCTGAAGGAAATACCTTGATGACTGATCCAAATGGAGATTCAAAAGAAGTCTCTTTTGATTATCATTCAGCATGCTATCTATTTTTTTCATATGAGGCAAAAGTAGCTCATCTAAAACAAGATAAAAATTTATTGGAATAGGATAAACTATCAACAGAAAAACTTGTTAAAAATCTGTCTTTGTCTCAAAACATTATTAAGACCTTAGCCGAGTGAGAAAGCTTCAGCACAGTGTGTTGACAGGATGAAAGCCCTGCGTTCTAACCCGTCCTTACCTCTAGAATTAACTGACACACGACATGACCAGTGGGCAACAGCCTAATTTCTCCAGATCCCATTTACCATGTGAACAGTAAGAGTATTACAGGATATAAATTTATCTAACATTATAAAATTTTATAAAATACTAAGTATGATATTCTTAATTCACTACAGTTTAAGGAAAAGAAAAATGATCAAAATCCAGTGTGAAAAATACAACGGAAGAGTCAAAAGAGTTATTTCAGAAAAGGAAACTAAAAGTATGACAAAGATCCTACTCAAAGCTTTGTGCTTTCTTTGTCACCCCTGAAACTTTAAGCTTGTTTGAGAAAAGCACTTCCAGAGTGTAAAGTTAATTACTATTGCTGCTGTATTAAAGACTTTAGAATACAGACTGTTTCTTATCAGCATAATAACATATTTTTATAATACTAATGACCTTTCTGAAAATGTATATATAATCCGCAGAATCTGGTTATTAATTTCATAGTTCAATAAAATGTTTGGAATACAAACACAAGCACAGTGACCATAAGAAGAACACCTCCTCTAATTGAAGAAAAGGTCCTTAGTGTGCAATGCTTTCTAAGCTCACTAGAACACACCTGATAATTTTCTTTTATCTTTCCAGTAGTGATTAAATCAATTCAAATATTACAAGAATTTACATTTCACAAAAACAAGTTTTAAACATTTGTGGATTATTTTAAAGTATTATAACCATTAAAATCTTTCCCCCTTATATTAAATGGAGAAAAATCAGAAAACAATGATAAACAGTAGGGAAAAAAGTCATTTAAAATACAACTGCCCAGAAATGACCACTACTAAGAGATGCATATTTTAGAATGCAAGGAGTTTTGATTGACAGGGAAAACACTTAATGGCAAAAAGCCAACATGGGGAATTAACTATTGGGTTTTAATAATGGTTCTTCTACCACTAACTTGTTCTATAACTTCAGGAAATATATTTTATCTCTTTGAACCTTCATCTACAAAATAAATGATTTGGGGCCAGCCCAGTGGCATAATGGTTAAGTTTCTGCACTCCACTTCGGTGGCTCGGGGTGTGCAGGTTCAGATCCCAGATGTGGGCCTAGCACCACTCGTCAAGTCACACTGTGGTGGCATCCCACATAAAACAGGGGAAGATTGGAACAGATGTTAGCTCAGGGCCAATCTTTTGGACAAAAAGATGAATAAATAAATGAATAAATGCTTTAAACCAGGTAATTTCTAATGTCCCTTCCAGCCCTACATGACTCTAAAATGACTGATGTACAGATTACTGTCTCTGATTATATGGTCAAAAAAGCAATGGACCAGAAACTAGACGACCTTGGACTTTAATCCTTTCTCTGCTTCTTCCAAGTTGTGGGCTCTTAAGCAAGTCACTTAACCTCTTTGAGCCTCTCACTGTCTTCATCCACAAAATGGCTAAATTGTACTGGGATTAAAGTAGAATAACATATGCCAAAGTATGTGGAAATAATAAAACAGTACATATTTTTAGTCACTGCTGTTGAAGTATATTGTTACTGACTATGCTTTGCTATTATCCTTTTTTTTAAAGATTTTATTTTTTTCTTTTTCTCCCCAAAGCCCCCCAGTACATAGTTGTATATTCTTTGTTGTGAGGCCTTCTAGTTGTGGCATGTGGGATGCTGCCTCAGCGTGGTTTGAAGACCAGTGCCATGTCTGGGCCCAGGATTCGAACCAATGAAACACTGGGCCACCTGCAGCGGAGCACGTGAACTTAACCACTCGGCCACGAGGCCAGCCTCGTTTGCTATTATCTTTTGATCTTACACCCATAGAATCATTTTGACAGAAGAAGGGTAATAGAAACTGGCTCATTAATCCTTTCATTCATCTTTCTAGCTGTCCCTCGTGAATGCTATAGTAGCTGAAGGGTAAACATTAGTGAGCAACATTAGATATATTTTATATAGTTTATTTATATATCAACTTCATCCCTACTTTACTATAAGAAAGATTAATAAAGCAACAGTATAAAGGAATAATATTAATGAATATAAGACAATGCATATATTATTTTAGTACTAACTGATTAGGAAATAATTACTTTGTGATATAGCTTTTACTGGACACAAATATACAATTTTAATCTTTACACCATTATTATCCAGTTCATCTAATTATTAGAAAACACAATATATTGACATCTGGACCCTCCATGTAATACAGACACTGAGTGAAATATTGTAAAGCTCATAAAGATTCTTAAAACTGAAAGAAACTAGCAGATAGTTACATAATTTTCCCATGACTAGAGATCACTAAAAATACATTCAATATACAGTTATTTAAATATTCAGATAATTCATGAAAAGATATGACCATTGTATAGAATCAATATATCATGAATTTGTTAACTGACAAAAAACATACATTAAATGCACAACTAACAGACAAGAACAACAAAGACCCAGGAAGTGCTACTTAGCAGACTATATACTGTTGCTCTTCTCTACGGCTTGCATCGTGTCGGGGTCCAGGGCAATGCTGACAAGCAATTCCATGTAGCTTTTAAAGGTTTCCTTCATCGCTCTTGTGTTCAACAAACGAGTGACAAAGGGAGCTGGAGGATCAAATACTGGGAAGGATAAAGGATGAAATGTTAAATATCCCTTCGTGACAACTTAAGAACACTTTTATCTTTAACAAGAGCCTATAAACAGATTAAAGGTTGTAGATAAAATTTCTTCAGATTCAAGGTTCTCCCCTCTGCATTTAAACACCCCAAGTGAGACAATCTCAAAGCTGGTTTGCACATCACAATCACTAGAGATCTTTAAAAAAAAATCCAGCTTGATGGACTTATTAAGACACAATCTTGTTTGGGGGGCAGGTAGTGGTGATGAAGCTTGCACATTATACTTCAAAAAAGGTTCCGAGCTAACCATAACCCTAACCCTAAACCCTAACCCTACCTTAAGACTAGCCCTGACACTGACCCTCACCCTGACCCTGACTCTAACCCAACACTAACCCTAACCCTAACCCTACACCTAACCCTACCCCTAACACTAACCCACAACACTACCCCAAACCCCTAACTGTAGCCCTAGCCCTAGCACTAGCCCTAGCCCTAAGCCCTAAGCCCTAGCCCTAGCCCTCACCCTCACCCTGCCCCTGGCCCTGGCCCTGACCCTAACACTCACCCTAACCCCTAACCCTAACCTAACCCCTAAACCCTAACCCTAACTTTAACCCTAAAACCTATCTCCCTAACCCTAACCCTAAACCTAATTCCCTAACCCTAACGACAAACATCACCATACCTTTCACCCTAATCCTAATCCCAACCCAGAACCTGTACCCAAACCTCAAAGCTTAACCCGTATCTTGTATCCTTAACCCCCAACCCGTAAATTCTCCTTCACCCTTACTCTCACCCTCATCCCGCTCTTCTCACCCCTTGCCTCTAATTCCAGACTCCATCTTAAACCCTAAACCATTGCCTAAACCCTAAACCCTGACCCCAACCCCAACCCCTACCCTAACCACATCCCTGATGCCAGCCCTAACCCTAACCTTTTAGCCGCAAATACTCCATAATTAATTTACCACTGAAAACTGGGTGAGTTACTATAGGGCAGCTGTGGGGACTAGCCCGGGGCCTTTCTCCCCAAGGCAGAAAGGGCACCAAAGAAGGGGGTCACAGAGCAGCTACATAGGGTCTTGGAACAAATGGCATCCACCACATATGACAGGGATGTCCCTTCACTTGTCACCAGAGGCTTTGCTGACACCGCAGGTCAGTGAACACAGTGGGTTGGTGGTCTCAGGAAGCCGGGTCGGCACTCAATCCTGAGTTTAGGGGGAGACGGTTTTCGTTCCAGAAACGCCGATGTGGGGACGCTGCGTCCCCATCCTTACGGATCGCTCCTGTCTTGGGGACACAGTCAACGTTTAAAGCGGATGCACGAGCACCCCACAGGCCAGGCCCCTTCGGGAAAACCAGTGCTGGCCGAGTTCATTTCAACCCAAACACCTCCCTCCGGCGCTCGTCCACCCTGTTGCTTGTCATGTATCCATGAAGCCTACAGCCCTGATCCTGAGGCCAATCTCTGACCCAGGCCCCACTCCACTGTCCCCGGCCGGCCACACGCCCAGACTTTCACCAGGACCGCGTTGCACCTACCCTGGCGCACAGTTCTCCGCGAGCTGCAATTTCAGAACAGACACAGCCACCGCCCAGCGCACACGAGCGCGTCCAGTGGACTGAGCCTCAACTGAGACTAACACATCCGGGCTGGGAGCCGGGGGTCGACGGAAAGAACCGACGGCTGGCTGAGTGCGCCGAGGTTGTGGGAATCGCAGAGCCCTGGCAGAGATGGAAACAAGCTACAGCTGGCCTAGAGCGCCAAGCTTGTCCGAGTCACAGAGTCATGAAGGAAAGAGCTGAGGGGAGACGGAAAGGGCCGAGGCTGTCTGAGGGGCAGAGCTTGTAGCCAGAGCCTCATGGGGGAGGGGAGGGCCAAGTGCCCATGGAGACAGCGAGGAGTGGCAGAAAGGGCCAAGGGTGTCTGAGAAGCATGGTATTGATGAAGAGAGCCGGGTGGGAAGGGGAGGGCCAAGTGTCTACGGAAGGGACCTAGCGTCAAAGACAGGGCAGAGGATCCAGGGAAAGAGCCACTGTTGGGCGGGGAGGGACGAGGAATGAGGGAAAGAGCCAAAGGCCTAAGGGGAGGGCGGAGGGGCCATGTGGAGCGAGGAGGCACTGAGGGAGCAGAGGCGGAGCGACTGAGAGGGCTGGGCTGCAAGGGGTGGGCCGCGGCCATAGGCGCGGGGTCGCACATGGAGCCGGAGTGAAGTGGGGACTCGGGGACACGGGGATCAGGGGTTTCTCCCCAAAGGCCCAGGAGCCCCCGCGCTCCTGGCAGGCAGGTAGCATCCGGGGTCTCAAGGCCGCACGCCAGGACGGACGCGACCCTGGAAGAGGCGGCGGGGCGCTGGCGGGGGCACGTCTGGATCGTCGCGTGGCTGTGGACGGCGAGTGGCTGCCCTGTGCTCGCCCGCCGGCATCGTGTGTGCGGCGTCTGCTGAGACGGGGCCCTGCGGGGTGCTCCGCGGCGTCCGCTCTGTGCGGCGCGTCCCGTCGGGCGGTTGGGGCTGCAGACCCTTCGCGTTCACGTACCTTCTCCTTCGTTGGCATTCCTTTGTGTTCTGGCGGCTGCTGCTTCCTGCGGGTCGTGGGCCCCTGAGGGGCCTCAGCTGTCACCCAGGGTGGGGGGATGGCGGGCACGGCTTTTCCCTAGGGCGCCACCGGCTTCCCTCAGGAGCACCGACTGATGCGCAGGGCGTGAGGACTGAGCCTGAGCACGTATGGCCCTGGCTACAGCCCTGGCCATGCCCCTGGCCCCACAGTCCCTCGCCGGGGGGAGGGCGGCCCGGGTCCTGAGTGCCTGTCGCCGGGGAGAGGCGGAGGCCCAAGCGGACCACTGGAGCGGGTGAGCCATGAGATGGGGCACGTGAGCGCAGCCGCGCCGTCCCCTCCCTGCATCCCTCGGGGCATAGTGGGCCCCGCCCAGGCCCGACTGTCTGCGCTTCCGGAGGCAGCCTCCCTCAGGCCCACTCCTCCCGCCCTCGCCCCAGCACTGCACACGCACGGCTGCTGGTCCTGCTGGGGCGTCTCCTCCCGGCGCGCGGTCTTTGTCTCCCAGGGTCTCGCTGGGAGGAGGCCCTGCGCGCCGTCTCAGTCAGACCCGGGGTCCCCTCCCTGCGTTTGCACCACAGGCGGCAGCCCGGGGCCCGGGGCGGGGGCGGGAGGACAGGAGCTCCGTGCAGAAGGGAAGCAGAGGTGGCAGCCCTGTTCCTCCCTGGTGGCACTAACGCCAACCGCGCCCTAGACCTGGCCATCCTCACTGTCTCTACCCCAGCCCTAACTCGATCCTGATCCTGACCCTAACTCAATCCGACCCTGACTGCAGCCCTGACCCTGACCATGAGCCGCCTGCCCTGGTGACTGTCCCACCTGCTAGATACGCAGATATCTAGGGGAAAAAGTAAAGCACTATGAGGCATGGAGAGCACAGCTGTGCTGTGATTCGAGTCTTAAGTGGCCTATTGTAGCAGGCATCAAATGGAAAGAAATTGAGATTACTAGGTTTCTCTTTTGGAAACTTTTCGTAGTTGTTTTTGTAACAGCCAAGTAGGATGTGAAAGAAGAGAAGCCCTGGGTGGGTGGTCAGTGCATGGAGTGGAGGAGGATGTGCCAGGATGGCGGAGGGCAGTTCCAGCCACCCACAAGCGCCTACAGAGCCGAGCTTGGCCTTTCTAGAAGCTCCTGCAGTCCACCCTACAGCACAGGCCACATACTCATTCTGTGCATCGCTCCGTTTCCTCCAGTTTTCTGTAAGCAAAGGATGTAAGTATACTCACAGTCAGGGTCAGGCTCCTGACGACTCAGGTATCGAACACTGCCTGTCTTCTCAAACTGTTTTAAGAGCAGTATAATTTGTCCTGTAAAGCAATTTCACAAACATAGGGAGTCTACTTAGTTTCACAACAGTGTTGTTGAAGATGATAAAGGAGATGCAGGTATTTTCCAGAAAAATGGGATAAAGTAGGCTTTAAGAATTCTTTACCAAAAAAGACGACAGGCGCCGGCCCCCTGGCAGAGTGGTTAAGTTCACACGCTCTGCTTCGGCTGCCCAGGGTTTCACCAGTTCGAATCCTGGGCGCGGACGTGGCACCACTCATCAGGCCACGCTGAGGCATCCCACATGCCACAATTAGAAGGACCCACAACTTAAAATGCACAACTCTGTACTTGGGGGCTTTGGAGAGAAAAAGGAAAAATTAAAAAATCTTAAAAAAATGATAAACTTAACCGTTTTCAGATGTTTTACAAGTATGACATACCCTGATTAAGTGTTCAGAGGTTTATATCCCCTTCCCAGTGCAGCGTGTAGGGTTTGCTTTGAGACATACCAGGGAGAGATCAAAAGGGAGGGAACCCTCAGGGTGGGAGGGAGGAGTCACCACATATCCATAAATGACAGGCATCCTTGTGCAGGCAGAGCAAACCCTGCCAACATGAGGACCCTGTCCCCGAGTTTCTGCTCTGCTGCCCTCCAGCGTCTTCCATGCTCAAGTCACCTCCCAGCCCATGGCTGAGGGCTCCGACCATCACATGTATGCTCCACAGCTGCAGCGAGATGAGATGGCAGTGAAGGCGCTGCTGCCTCCCTTCCAGATCCTCCCCAGAAATTGCACGTGGCCCTTCTACTCGAAATTTGGTCAAGTGAGCACCCCAGAGTGCAGGGCTGCCCCAGGTGCACTCCTGCTCTGTATGGAAGAGGAAGGAGAGGGCATGCATTAAGATGGCCGCAGCTGATGTGACAGTGTCATCCAACTGGAACTCACGTGGAATCCCAACGGTGACCTGACCTGTGGCCAGTCCTCCCTGCCACTGCTGGATCTAGGGACTCAGGTTCTTCGTCTTAGAGATCCGCCCTCCTCCAGGCCCCCTGCTGTGTCCCCTGGCCTGCTTTCAGAGAGTGACCACAGGAGGACCCTGAGCCATTCTGGCTGTAGCTTTCTAAATGTTTTTTAGTTTAGTTTTTGGTACTTGTGCAGATTTGTGTGGGTGAGGTGTCGTCAGACAGCCCCATGCCCTCTTCATCCAGACCCATTGTCCTGGTCCCTGGTGTGGCCCCTTCCCTTTCTTGGACTCTCACCACTCATGCCCCCTCCAGCATGATGCTCACTCCCCACAACTCAGGGCTCCACATACGGTCCTGGATGACCAGGTATCTGGTGGGAGAAGCTGTCAGAGAAAAGGGGCGCTTGCATCTCCAGGGTCTGAGGTGTGTCACCATGGAAACCCCAGGGCAGGGTTTGGTGGGAACAAAGCTGCAGCTTTGGAAGTGACCAGACCACACCACATGGCCATGGCGCCTCTCCTCTCCCCCCACCCCCACCCTAGGGTTTGTGGGTTCATGCGTCCTGGGCTCCTGGATACAGCAGTGCAGTGAGACTGGGCCTGCAGGCCCCTTACATATTTCCATGTAATGGACATACTCGTGGGCAAGTCTCTGCCCCCAGACTCAATCATTCAGTGTGTTGAGCCAAGGCTCTGGGATGGGGTGAGGGGGAGGGGGCTGGAGGAGAGGAGAGTCATGGGACAGGTCTTCCCACACAGAGGCCCAGGAGTGGTGGACTGAGGGGGTCCCCCAGGGATGGGGTCACTGAGAGTGAACTTTTGGGGACTCTTTGTGACCTGCCTGGAGTGGGGGAGCACAGGGTGAGTATAAATGGCCAGTGCCCAGGGCCTGATGCCAACAGAGGGGCTGAGCAGGGGGGCATCACCACCTCCTGGGCCTGTTCTCTGGGCATCAGCTCTCCCTCCAGAGAAGGAAAGCCGGGTCTCTGCACAGGTGGAGATGTGTCCAACGCAAGGGCCAGGTTCAGGGCTGAGGAGGAGCAGGGGATCCCAGGCCAGGCAGCCCCACAGTGTCAGGGCTCTTGCCCAGCGTGGAGGCCACACCTGCCAGCAGGGTCAAGAGCTGAGTTCCAAGATGACTCGGTGTGTGAGGCCCTAGGACCTTTACCTGTGACTGCCTTGCCCTGTGGTGTACAACATGGGGGCCGTTTACTTTGGGTGAGTTCACAAAAAACAGGTGGACCTGGAGTTGGCAAATTTATCACCAGTAATGAAACAAATAGGTAAAACTTGCTCATCATTTGATGAAAAGCTTAAGTGTTGCAAAAATAGCTTTTAAATCTTCTAGGAAGGAAACTATCAATCATCCATGGCATGGTGCCTTGGCCTTTTCTCTGCACTCTGAATGCTGATGGAGAAATTCAAACATTGCTGAAAAGTCCACTGGGTGACTCGGGGCAACGGGGTTTAAAGATCGTGCTGGACGACCTGTTTCCACTGGGCACGTTACAATAAGGGAGAGTTTCGACCAATTCCTGGGGCAAATCAGGCTCTTAGGGAGCCTGAGAGTCAAGGGAAGCCCTTGCCTGAGCCCTTCCCATCTAAGGGGGAGTTTGAGGTTACAGAGGTGCTGAGGGCACGCGAGGTGGTGGATGGGTTCTCTCAGGGACACTGAGGTCTGACTCTGTCACTCACCCAGAACCCTGACACATGTGTCCTCTAACTCGCAGCTGCGACCCTCACCAGGAATTTCCTAAGGCTAAGATATGCAAACAGTAAACTATACAGCATTTCAGAAACCTCATGACCCCTGTAAACCCGGCAGCCCTCGCCTGAGACCCCACCCTAGTCACAAACCCCGACCTGGGATTTGCCCAGGGCTGAACCCCAAACATAAGCTGCCCCAACCCTGACCCTAACCCCTACAAGTCAGTCTCTCTCTCCCTGCGGTTCCCACACAGAAGCAGGCATCACCTGGAGCAGCTGCCCTGCAGGGAAGCGCATGGGATGCGATGCAGGTGTGTGGCCCCCACGGAAACACCAGCGGCCAGGGCCGAGAAACTGGCTGGGTGGGTGGGGCTTGGAGAGGGTGATCTGGGCAGGGGCGGGCTCTTGTTGGAGGATGGAGCCCATGCCCTGTGGGTCCTTGAGGTCAGAGTCTCCTGGGAACACTGGCCTCAGGGGCAGGAGCTGGAGGCCACATGGAGCTCTTGGAGTTTGAGATACTTCTGAGGTTCAGCAGGATCTGGAAGTTCCGGGCTCCTGCTAACATCTCTCTTTCCAGTGTGAAATGAAAACTCCCCTACCCCGATCTCCCCACGGTGCTTTTGCATCTGTGTAGCCTACTTCCTTTGAGTGGACTCGAGTCAAAATTAGATGAAGGATGGGCCTCTGCCTGGATCACAGGTGGCTTTGAACTCCATGAGGTCTATATAAGAATTCTGAATAAATACATTCTTTGGCTGGAATGAAGGAGAAGTATCCCAGTGCATCTGAAGTACGGTGACAGTCACTAGACTGTGTAGATGGGGACTGGAGAGTCTGAGTGTTATTCTCCTCCCGGGTGGGTCTGGTCACCACCGTCTACCTGTTGTTAACTTGACCCTCAACAGTGCTGGAGGTGGGGAAGTACCACCCAGCTTCTGAGAATTCACCTTAATAAATGTCGTAGGAGCTGGTCGCCTCCAGAGAGCTCACACAGCACTCGCTGCCCGTCCCCATCCTGAACGGTTCATGTGTCGACTTGTTTAGGACGCAGAGCAAACCAGTGAGGAAGGCACTATTGTGGGACATAGGAAATGAGGGCAGAGGGTTCAGGTTTAGAAAATAGATGTATGTGATATATATGTATGAGCGTGTGTATAGAAGGGTGTGACTTCTGCCCACCACACAGCACTGTTCTGAGGGTCACACTGGACAACAGGTAGATTTATGTACATACACACAAACGCATATAAAGTCTCCATTTCTTGATAACTTGCCCAAGAACTCACGGCCAGTCTGTGGCAAAATTTAGATGTAGACCTGGGCATCATGGCTCAAACCTGCGCCCACTGAGCCCCTGTACTTTTGACCCCAGGCTGCCCCTGGCGCTCCGGACTCCTGCACCAGCTCAGCTTCCTATCCAGCCGACACACTCCCTTGGCCTCATCCCCTGATTTGCTCTGTGGAGCCCACGGGGAGGCTTGGGCTGCCTGTCCCTGAGGCCCAGGGGAAGAGAAGCCTGGCAGGCACTGCCCTGGGAGCACATG